ATTGATATTGCAATGATATTTTCAGATAATACTTGATTTAGTTTTATACTATATATTAATAAAAAAATTTGTTTTTTTTTTTTTTTATATTATTAGGTTAGAGGTGAAATGATTGGGACAAGTGATAGATGGTTGACTCTTGGTTCGATATTTGCTAGTTGATTTATTGTATGCGGCATAAAAGAAGTGCTCATGTATTGTTTTCCAATTGAGGACAGTAATGTGCCTTTCATTTTTTATTAGATGCTTGAGTGGTTTTGTAATATGCAATATTAATCGACTCCCTTACTAATACGCATGAAATATCATTTTTTTTTTTAAATCCAAATACTTACTGTATGATTATTACATTGGTGTACTAATTAATTGTTTGCTTTAATAACTTTCATACAGTGACAGATCTTTAAGTTTAACAATATCACAAGATCCTATCTTTTTAATAAAAAAAAATTTTTTTACAAACACCTATTTTTATAAACACTGTAGGTGCATGCTTCGTGACGAAAGCTTAATTTATTTGAATAATCACCTTCGCCCAAACGAGAGGTGGGCCAATCAGGTAATTAATTGCTCATCGGCGTTTAAAGCAACATGAAAACACTTGCGTGAATAAGATAGTAAATACATTGCCGATTTACATTTTTTTATTTTATTTTTTTTTCTTTAGAGAAATGCAGTATATGCATATGCATATACTGTATATTATTATTTACTGTGCAAACACTATGGTGTATAAAAGATTTTTTCGTTAAGGTTAATATGTAAGTAAACAAATAATCGTGTCAATAGTTATTATTAAAAAAAAAAAATATGTATATGTATAAAAGAAGAATTAGGATTTCTCGTTTCATCATCAAACTACGATTTCTGTCCTTTAGACAACGATCAACCAACCATCGTACGTGCATGTAAAATGTTTCTCGCGACCTATGGCTTCCTGCACCATCATCAGACGATATACGGTATATGTATATATATATATACGTAACAAAATACGTAGAAAATAAGGGGGGAAAGCTAATTTACAAAATTAAAAATACAAGGAAGTTTAGGCAAAAAGATGATGCCTTAAACTGTTAACGTTCTAATATATTATGTATATGTATATATATACATATATGAGGGGTAGTAACGGATGCTTGAAATAATAATTATTATTCGAGATGCAATTGTGATTGAGTGGTGTGTGTGTGTGTGTGAGGATATATGCGTAATATAGGGTAATACAGGATTTTTTTTTTTTTTTTTTTTTGTTATTAGTCGAGATAGTATACATGATATAAATTTGGAGCATGATCGACGAGAGTTTTCATGGAGATTGTGATTGCTCTTGCCATTGGGATGGACTAGTTATGGAAGACGAGGCAGTGGTGACTACTTTCTGACCAAAGAATCGCCAGGTTTTGAAATAGGTTTTATATTGCTCGACTTCTTTGGCGAATGTTGCCACAATTTCGTCATATTCGTGAGATTTTACTTTCATCAACGTTGACATTGGCATTTTGACTGCACTCCATCCTTTGGTGATGTCGTCTACGGCCTTAAAAAAAAAAAGAAAAGAAAAAAAGGTGAGTCGATTGAATAATGAGAGCTTAGGAATGATTTTTTTGAAGATAAGTTCTCGTGAAAGCTCACCATTTGACCGAGCTCGCCCGCCCAGTGACCAACGAAACATGATTTTTCTTCGGTCTGAACACCTTCAACAAACTTTTCGTTAGCCTCCATTGATTTGGGAACATATGAGTTTATTGGCGTAACGATTCCCTTGGATTTCATGATTGTCACCACTGCGCGGAGAAAGGTGTAAAATTGATCAATTCACCGCAACCGGAGAAAAGGAAAGTAAAAATAACATGAAAAATCAAAATACTAACGAGCATTTGTTAATCGCGCCGTCGTCTGACCTTCGTTATAGTATTGAATATCGCTTTCCATGAACTCCACCCATCCACCTTGTCTCGTGACTCTTATTAGCTCAGGGATAACTTTTTGTTCCCATTCCGCGGTCGTAAAGGCGGTTACCAAAAGTCTCATGTTGACGAAATCAAACGTATCGTCCAAGAATGGCAGACCATCGAGTATGTTGGCCTGTATGAATTTCGCGTTCGTGGGTTTCCCCTCTTGCGGGAATAGCGGGGTGAAATCTACACCGGTGAACGAGGAGAGAGGATATGCCTCTGACATTTCAATTGTCCACGTCCCTGGACCGCATCTGTAAAAAAAAAAAAAAAAATTTTTTTTATGCTTAGTGAGTGAACGGAACGAGCATGCGAGTGATGAAAGAGACTCGAGCGAACAAATAATTACCCGACGTCGAGAACTCTAATGCCACCAGATTTTAATTTTTCCTCAATGGGAGCCGAGAAATTATTCTGCCAGATCCTCTTGAACAGTCGATGTTGTCTCTGTAACCTTTCAATCTCTTCAACTAACGGGGCGACCGACTTGGAATTCTTCAAATTGTGGATTCTCTTGCCACCTCCCGTGAAACGCCATGTTTCGTTGATGAGGCTACCATCGAATGACGCTAGTGTACCCGATGAACGCAAGGAACGAAACTTTTTTCTCCTCTCAGCTTTACCGTCGGTCTTGATGAGCGGAGTTGGATGAACACCGAGCACAGCAGTTTTTGATTGTCGACCACCCATATTGCTTCTTCTTGTTATTGTGTATACGCGTGCTTTCTCGAGAAGTAGGTTTTCTTATTTGGTGTGTTTATAGCACTGAATATATTTAGGTGATGGATTATTGTTATTATTTTTTTTTTTTTCTGTTCGGTTTACAAGGGAGGGAGGGAGTTTGCGTTTATATTTAAAGGAAAATGGATGACAAAAAAAAAGAAGACGGTGAGTTCGAAAAAAGAATTTCAAAAATAAATTAGGGAATACCGTATCACAATTTAAACTGAATCATCATCAAATAATAAGATTAATCGACTTACCGAACTGTAAAATAAAAATAAAAATAAAAAAGAAAGTAAAAGAAAACAAACGAGGAGTTTATTTTTCAAATAAATATAAATATATTTATATTTATATGTTTATATATTAAAAGAGATTTTTGCTTAAAATGAGGAAATGAATGCTAGATGCGGAAACTCGGACTGATTTGGATACAGAGATTATTTATTGCTTATTGAAAAAAAATTTTTTTTTTTTTTTTTTATTTGGTAAGGTAAAAAAAAAAAAAAAAATTTGGGTTTGGATAAAATGAAACGAGGTAGCAATAATAAAAGAGAAAAAGAAAAAAAGAAAAGACGCAAATGTTTAGGAATCACCTTTAGGGCGCATATACACAAATAAAAAACAACTGCTTTCGTATTATTTATGCTGTTGCTGTTGTTATTGAAAAAGGATTTTGTCTTTTTTTTTTTTTTGGCGGAATAGATCTCTTTTATATACTTTTGTGCATGGCTATACAGTAGAACAGTATATACGGCAATATAAAATCCCTAATTATTGTTTATACCTTTATAAAGGTAGAAAAAAAAAAAAAAGAATTGCGTAACTGTGAAATTAAAGTTTCTCCGGCACGTGTATCAATATAATACGTGGCATTTATATTGCGCACTAGTGTGATTATTCATATTTTTAATTAAAATATGCAAGAGCATAAGTTCGCCACCTCACTTAAAAGCATCTTCCTTTAATTTCGTATCATCATCAATATTCATTTACTTATTTATTCACTCAACTTGTTCATCTATTATTTATTTATATCTTATTTTATTCCAATTCTCGTTTCCGTCTGTTCGCATCAATTAAAAAAAAAAAAAAAAAAAAAAAATTTTTTTTTTTTCTTTTTTTTTTTTTCGACCACAAGGGCTTTGCTGCTATTAAAAATCTTAAATAATCATCACACACAACGGAAAGATGGTACTTCGGTAAGTAAACAAACGGCTGCAATAATGAACCCAAATAGGTTATTCGTGTCACAAACCACGCCATATTATCCCGCCTTAAAAGAAAAAGCCTGTTGGCCTATTGAAAACCCGAAAGCACACATAATATTTTAGGAAACCAAGGGATTATTGTGTATAACGTCGAGAATTAAAAATTAAAAATTGATTCAAAGGTACGGAATTGCTATTTTATTAGGAAAATCGTATCGCACCATACTTAAAAAGTATCACTATTGTGTCATGAATTACACGATTTTTTCCCGTAATTCCCAAGCCAAATAGTGAATCCGCAGTTTCGCAGAAAACATTCCGCCCAGGTGATTCCAACAGCGAAAGTGGCGAAACGGACGAACAAGAAGCATGCAGGATCTAGAAAATTCTCAACTCTAGCCCTAGTGCTGTTGGTGGTTCGACATTTTTTTTTTTTTTTTTTTTTTTTTTTTTGCGATCACCCCCAACCAACTTTTAGGGAGCTGGTTTTCCCCCTAACACTTTGCTTTCTTTTTTGGTACGTCAGCCCTTGCTCTCAGCCTGACTCATATAATTCATTAGACAAAACGTACAGTACATTAAAAAGCGTTAAACTAATCGGTCCTGCATTGTACGTGGAAAAAAAAAAAAAAAAAAAAGAAAAGAAAATTTGGTTGAAAACCATATGCATAAAAACGAATATAGTATCTTGATATGATTGATAATATTGAATTGATAATAATGCGCATCTCTTTGATATTGCTAGCTTTCAGGGAGAAGAAAAAGGGCGAATATCACACGTACTGTGATTTTCACTTAAACCAATCGGTTACACGAAACACCTGGCATGCAGTAAACATGCAACAGGTAATTTGTGATTTCCTTATTGCAAATTATGAGGTACGTACGCATATCTCATCTCAAGGATTTCCCTTGCATCAACATCAAAGGGATTGTAGAGGAGTGATTGAAGTACATGGTGCCGAACATATACGACTACTTCGGTGGCGGGAACCACACATTCGGTATCATACGAAGGAAGTTATTAATGCGTTGCAAAGTACAAATGAGATCATGGTGACAAGAAAGGAATTTCTATCCATGACGTGAGAAACATTTTGCTGGGAACATGCATATGTGAAAACTCTCTAGAACCAATTTGATAAAGGTGAAGACGCTCTCCTCATCCTACTTACCGAGCAAGCGGGACACCTCATCCTAATGAAAAACGTGCCACGTGGAGATATACGAGGCGTATGTGATGTGTGTACAAGCTTCGTTAAATCTCGTTCGAATCTCGTCCATGGTTTTGTGTTTTACAGGTGTGCCATGCAGGTGACGATGAGCTTTACTTCACGAACTACCACCACCACCACCACTTCCACCATTACCACGGTAATCTTAATAGGTGATTTACAATGGTGATGTAAGAAGTGATTCGTCAGGAATAAATAAGGTTACTATCATTAGACAGAGCTCATCATTCCGTCCATCGCCAAGCTGCTTACTCGCTCATCCATTCACTGCGTGTGAATTTTTGCTGAAAAAAAAATAATTAATAATAAATAATAATAATTATAATAATAATTATTGTAATTATTGGTTTTTTTTTTTTTTTTTCATGTACTGTAATTCACTGCATACTCGCTATGAGGATATGAAGGTTGACGAATGATGATTAAGGAATAGTTGCTGGCAACCGATGAATTAGGAATTGATGAATGAGCATTAATTGGGAATGAATCGCAATCAATCGTTTATACAGCACTCTTCATGAAGAAAAAAAAAAAAAACGCGCAATGAGTCTAACCATAAAAGACTTAAAAGGGTCATTCCCATAATGATTTCCCATATATATTAATCGCGACAATAACACCTACGCACACCAACTTTCCGGCTAACCCAAACCACACCAGGAAGTAAACATATGCGTGTGTGCATACATACAGGACATCGTAGTCCATTGGCCAAGTCAGTTCGAAAATAATAATGGGGAGAGTGATAACGATGTCCCGCATGAATTTGTTGATTTATTACATAACAAACAGTTACACACGAACAAATGCATACATGTGCGAGGAAACACGGGCGGCACATCGTCAACTACATTAGGATGTGAAAATGAAATTATTAGGTCCGACTTTGCGGTTTTCATTCCTCCCTGAATCGTTTCATGCAGCTCCCGGAAAACAGCGATACACCATCTCCTAACCATACATTCACACTGTATATTCGATGGTCGTTACTATATGCGTGAGTGTTGACTGTTTGACGGTGGTGACGATGAGCCGATAAGAACCAAAGCCCCCCCCCCCGTAGTGGTACATAATGTGCTGCGATAATAATAATGGTTGACTACATAAAGATAGGGATGAAAGAAATGAACGAACGCTTCATTTGTTCGTCCATCTATTCACTTCAACCTCACACCATCCATTCATTGGTGGTCAATATTGCATTAACATTAACTACCCTAACAAGAATACAATGCAAGAGCGAGTACGTATGTACGTACGTACGTACATGATAGATACGTGAAATAATTAACCACGTTGTATATACATCGTGTGTGCACTTACGTAGGAATGTACGCACAAAATATTGTGTAATACGGTAGCTATGCATTTATTTGCATTGTACTTCTTTCCTTTCATTGCATGCTTATGAGCGCACGTATGCGCATCATTGTTGTCTCGGTAGCCAAGAATTTGTGTGTGCATGCATAGGTCAACTCGTCATAAATGGAGTTAGGATGCTGGAAGTTGGACTTCGTACTTTAATCCAATATGATGCACACACAAGACAACGAATCACGCATTTGCACAATGTGATCCCTCGCTCTTTTCCTCCTTTCAGGTTAATTAGGAATGCACAATGACAGAGGAATCATAGATTGAGATGATAAATCATAAGGTTGGGGAATTCTTGCATCTCTCCTCTGGATCCGTCTCTCTCTCAGATTTCTGCGGAGGGATTGGGAAACAAGATAAAGCATACAAATATTTGTGGAGGCGTAGGGAAAATTTCGCAGGTGTATACGTAATTCTTAATGCAAAGGTGTTACGGTGTAGGCCCAAATGTGGGTGGTTACGTAAACCGTCTCCCTATTTTTAATGCAACGCCATCAAAGGGATGCATTCGACGTAGATGACGTCCAGACCTTTCGACCACACGGCAGGGGATTATGGTGATGGCTCGAAATGGTTGATTAACTAACTTGATCAGGTTGGGGAATCCACCGCACATACCCGTACATGTTATCCATCATGGTTACTATGTTTAACCTAACAACCTTTAATAAAGGAATGTCGTGCACATTGATTGGAAGAAGAAATTGGTGTGATTATTCATTAAAAATGATGATGTTACCGAAATTTATAAACGTGATACAGTGTGCTGGGATTAAGGTTGAACAAGGAAAACGATCGACAATTGTTAAAAGAACCCAATTTGGGACAAATTAAATTAATGAAAAATTCTTGATACTCGTGTCGGGTACAGTATTAAATGTGCAAATTTTAATCCTTGAATCCTTGTATCAGGTGCACAAATCATAATTCCATATGAATTTAATAATAATGAAGACCCAATTTCATTTGCGCGCACGCGGTCTTCCACGGACAAAGAAATTTATCACTAATATTTAGGTATTGTCATTATTACTGTAATTACCAAGCGCACACACGAATGAATAATAATAAGATAACACCGCATCACAAGAATTATCCGCCATATTTCTCCTTATGGAAAATAGCGGGAGAATCGTCAGGTGATATT